TTCGCCATGGCGGCCGGGCCGATCTCCGAGCGGAACCAGGGTGATTGGAGGGGATGAACCCGGAATAGGCCCACGGGGGCTGGCAGGCATCGACTAGGGCCAGCAGTGTTTTCGCCTGGGCAGGAGATCGGACGCCCCCCTGGAGGACGCGAAACCGGCCCCCGTGCCTGCCGGAGGGAGGGTGGCCGAGTGTAGGCTGAGGCCTGTAGGGGTGGTGCTGTCTGTGCCCAATCCCTTCTCCCTTCCCATTCAAAAAAACCCCCAAAAAACAAAAAACCCCCACAAAAAACAAGCCAAACCAAAAACAAAACAATTCACCAAGAGAATTTGTAGCAGAACCTTTAGCTTTCGGAAGGCTTTTTAGTTCCTGGAAAGGGAAGTGTAAGAGTTTAACCGAATTTTCTTTTTTTCTTTTTGCTCCTATACTCCATCTCCACTCCCAATTCCTCCGCCTGTCATCTCCTTCCTGTCATTCTTTCATACTTGGCCTAACCTGCTTCCATCCTCTAGATGCCACTGTCTACGTGGGAGGCCTGGACGAGAAGGTTAGCGAACCACTGCTGTGGGAGCTATTTCTCCAGGCAGGGCCAGTAGTCAACACCCACATGCCAAAGGATAGAGTCACAGGTCAGCACCAAGGTGAGTACATGACAAGAGGTGCGTTTATGTATTGAGGGGACAAACTGCTGGTGGAGGGCTCCAGCAGTATTTATTTATAGATGTTTTGGAAAGAATTCTCCGCAGATTCTTTTTTTTTTTTTTTTTTTTTTTTTTCATTTTGAGAGATAGAGAGTGCGAGCCAGCATGAACAGGGGAGGGGCAGAAAGAGAAGGAGAGTCCTAAGCAGGCTCCACACTGTCAGCACAGAGCCCAGTGTGGGGCTTAAACTCATGAACCTGAGATCATGACCTAAGCCAAAATCAAGAGTTGGATGCTTAACCGACTGAGCCACCAGGAGCCCCTGCAGATTCTTTTAAGCGTAGCCCACAGCTTGTTTCTGGAACCATTCCCAATGGAAACAAAGTCGTTATTTCTTGTGGTTTGGAAGGTGAATGAGTTATACCCCATTTTGAATCACTTAAGTTGTTAATCTCCGCTGTTTTACTTCCCAGGCTATGGCTTTGTGGAATTCTTGAGTGAGGAAGATGCTGACTATGCCATTAAGATCATGAACATGATCAAACTCTATGGGAAACCAATACGGGTGAACAAAGCTTCAGCTCACAACAAGAACCTGGATGTGGGGGCCAACATTTTCATTGGCAACCTGGACCCAGAGATTGATGAGAAGCTGCTTTATGATACTTTCAGCGCCTTTGGGGTCATCTTACAAACCCCCAAAATTATGCGGGACCCTGACACAGGCAACTCCAAAGGTTATGCCTTTATTAATTTTGCTTCATTTGATGCTTCGGATGCAGCTATCGAGGCCATGAATGGGCAGTATCTCTGTAACCGCCCTATCACTGTGTCCTATGCCTTCAAGAAGGACTCCAAGGGCGAGCGCCATGGCTCTGCAGCTGAAAGACTTCTGGCAGCCCAGAACCCCCTCTCCCAGGCCGACCGCCCTCATCAGCTGTTTGCAGACGCACCTCCTCCTCCTTCTGCCCCCAATCCTGTGGTGTCATCACTGGGGTCTGGGCTTCCTCCACCAGGTAATGCTTTTATTCAAAATACTTTTGTCTTGTGTTTGGGGTATGGTGGTGGTGGAGCAGGAGGAAGGACAAAGGACCTGATGAAGGGGGATGTGGAGTCAGTAGGTGAAGAAAGAGGGATTGAGGGGTGATAGTCGTGGTGGGGAAGAAGGCTGTTGAGTTTCTCCAGGAGGTTGAAGTTGTTGTTCAGACTTGTCTAGTATTGCTTCTGACTTTGAAGAGCTGGGAGGAGGGGAAACAGCTTTTCCTGCTTGAAGAGGCCAGATGGAACAGGCTCTACAGACATTCTCTTCTCCCTGTCATTAACTTTTCTTCCATTTTCTCTATAGGCATGCCTCCTCCTGGGTCCTTCCCACCCCCAGTGCCGCCTCCTGGAGCCCTTCCACCTGGGATACCCCCAGCCATGCCCCCACCGCCTATGCCTCCTGGGGCTGGAGGACATGGCCCACCATCAGCGGGAACCCCAGGGGCTGGACATCCTGGACATGGACACTCACATCCTCACCCATTCCCACCAGGTGGGATGCCCCATCCAGGTGGGTATTCTTTGCTGGGAAAGGGAGGGATAGCCTTGGCAGAGGGGCTTTACTGCCACTTATGCTCCTGTCCTTGTCCCTCAACAGTGATAACAATAGCCTCAGAGCTCAACTTTTCTTCAGTTTTTCATATAAAACACAAAATACTGTTCTCTGTTTACTTTAACAACTATCATCCTGTTTCCTTTTTCTGATGTAAGTTTTTCCAGAGTATAACTGTACTTGATTTTTTTTTCTTTTCACTTAAATTTTTTTAACTTTTTATTTATTTTTGAGAGAGAGAGAGAGAGAGAGAGAGACAGAGTACAAGCGGGGAGGGGCCGAGAGAGAGAGAGGGAGACACAGAATCTGAAGCAGGCTCCAGGCTCCAAGCTGTCAGCACAGAGCCCGACGTGGGGCTCAAACTCACAAACAGTGAGATCATGACCTGGGCACAAGTCGGATGCTTAACTGACTGAGCCACCCAGGCGCCCTTCCCTTTAACTTACTTCATTTTTCTTCTCTGATTTCTACCCTAAAGCAGTGACCTAATTGCCAAATCTAGGGGATGCTTCCATTCTTTATCTGGTTTGCCCTTTGGTATACTTGAAATTGGGCATGTTGTCCTGTTTGAAAATCTTGTCTCTTGGTTTTATTGGATTCTTCATCTGTCTCTGACTCCTCAGTCTCAGTCACCTTAATAGGCTTCTTTTTCTCCCCACGTAGCTAGGTTTTTATATTCGGTTCTCTTCTCCACATGGCTCCATTACTTGTACACTGATGCCTCCTAGATAAGTGTCTCTGGTCTGTGACCCTTAATCTTGCTGTGTGATGGACCTCTCCACTTTTCTACCCTTGTCTTCAAACCTGTTCTTCCTCTAGTATTCTTTGTTTTCAAATGCTTAATTGAGAAATCTGAGAGCCATTTTAAACCATTTCCTGTCACCCCACTCTAGATACCAAGTCTTATTAATATCTCTGGCATTGGCCCCACTGCCAGTGCCCTAGTTCAGGCCCTCTTGTACTGATTATTTCACACCTGATTTACTGTAGTAATTTTCTCATGCTTTGCCTCCAGTTTCTCTTTGATCCACTTGCATAGAGTAATTCTAAAACACAGATGCTCACATACCCTTGCTCAAAATTCTTCTGTTGCTCCTTTTTATCTACAGAGTGAAACTCAAACTTATCACTGTGGCATTCTAGGCTTTTCGTGATCTGGTGCCTGTTCATTACTCCCATGACTACATGCTGCTGCTCTGCATTTCTCTGAGTTACTTGTTTTCCCCAAACATACTGTGCTGTTTGATGGCTCTGTGATTGGCGCATGCTGATGTCCTGCCTGGGATGCTCTAGTCTACTTTGTTGTCCACTTGAAAAATTCTTACTTACTCTTTAGAATTAGATCTTTGCTCAGACAGTGTCTCTGCTACCTTCTCAAATCCTGTCGTCACTCTGTTCGTTACATACTTCTGCAGCACCGTGATACTGTGAAAGTCATGGAAGGAGCAAGGTGGGTGGGTTGGTAGTTGATTTGTTTGTAACCTTGGAATGGGGTTGAGGATAAGGGCACTTTGTACCAGCCCTATTTTCCATACTCTTCTTTTCCTGACATCATGTCTTTCTCTATTTTGTTCTCTTTTTCTTTGCTTTTTGTATGCCTTTTGTCTCCTTTCTCTTTGTGTCTGTTTTTTTCTCATAGGGATGTCTCAGATGCAGCTGGCTCACCATGGCCCTCATGGCTTAGGACACCCCCATGCCGGGCCCCCAGGCTCTGGGGGGCAGCCGCCACCCCGACCACCCCCTGGAATGCCTCATCCAGGACCTCCTCCAATGGGCATGCCCCCTCGAGGGCCTCCGTTTGGATCTCCCATGGGTGAGCAGGATCCAGCCACCCCCCCCCATCCCCAAATGTCATACTCTTGCAGCTTCTTTTGTCACGCTCCTGTCCCCTGCCCTTTCTTTTATTTACATTTCTGCTTGTGGTGTCCCTGCCAGTCTTCTCTGTACATTCTCCCAACATCAACTAGTACCTGTTTCCCAACTGTTGATGAAGTCAGTGAACTTTCCTTTTTTTGTGTGCAGGTCACCCAGGTCCTATGCCTCCACATGGGATGCGTGGGCCTCCTCCACTGATGCCTCCTCACGGGTACACTGGGCCTCCACGACCCCCACCCTACGGCTACCAGCGGGGCCCCCTGCCTCCACCCAGACCCACCCCCCGGCCTCCAGTTCCCCCTCGTGGCCCACTTCGAGGCCCTCTTCCTCAGTAATTTCTCATTCTCTTGCCTCCTGTTCTATCTTCCCAATATTTTTTCAAATCCTTGGACCAATCCGAGTTGCTGTAGCTCCTTAGGGCTAAGGCACTAATCCCTCTCAGGCTTTTTTTTTTTTTTTTTTTTTTAAGTGTAATTCTTTTCACAGGAGGTTTTTTTTTTTGTTTGTTTGTTTGTTTTTTTTATGTTGGTCCTAAGTGTTTTGCAAATGCACAGAGAAAATAAAATTAAACTCCTTGTTTATTCTTTGTGCTCTTTTCCTCGGCAAAATAACTTCTCTGTTTTCTCTAAGAAGAGACATCAGTATATTGGGAAAAGAATGGTAAGGTAGGAGGGAGCATGCTTATTCTATGTTTTAAGGCTTACATTTAGCTTATAAGCTGGAAACCCTAAGTACCCATGACATAGGGTTTTTGTGAATATGAAGCGAGAACAGAGGTGAAGTTCCTGGAGATAATGCTGGCAAAAACAGGAAGGAACATGCACAAAGCCATCCACTGCAGTCCTGCTTGTAATGGTAGTAGGTTGGAAACCGCTCTCTGTTGGTCAGTGACTGGTTGAATAACTCGGTAAATCTACACAGCAGCGGTAAAAAGGAGAGAGAAGACTACCTACTGTTTTAGAGAGACCTCCAGGATACATTAAGGGAAGAAAGTAACAAGCAGAACAGAACGTCCTATGCTCCCACATCTAACATACGCATTTATTTACATTAAAAAAAACCAGATAAACCAAAAAGGAAATTCATACACTGGGATGGGGAGGGGAGCTAGATTTCTCTGAGCATACTATGTTAAACTTGGTTTACTTCGACACTATGTACATAAATGTCTTACATAATTGCAAAACTGTTGAAATTGGGACCGTTGGAACTCGGTAAACCTACATTTTCTTCCATGCTTTCCCTTCAGACATCATGAGTGAGGAATTTGGATCTTACTCCTATTTTTTTCCTCCTCAGTCCTTCCACACCTGACTTCCATCCCATGGAAATCTGTCTTCAGAGACTTTGAGTAATTAGACCAAATCCAATGGCCCCTTTTCTGTTCTTTGCTGTATTTAATCCTCTTACGTCACCACTTTCCTAAAGTTCTCTTTCTGGTCTATATGACCATGGACTTTGCTGATATCTAGGCAAGAAACAGTGCACCCGGCCCTCTTGTTCTCTTGCACCATTCTTAAAAAATTTTTTTTAATGTTTATTTATTTTTGAGAGAGGGAGAGACGACAGAGTGTGAGCTGGGGAGGGGCAGAGAGAGAGGGAGACACAGAATCCGAAGCAGGCTCCAGGCTCTGAGCTATCAGCACAGAGCCCGATGTGGGGCTCAAACCTACGAACTGTGAGATCATGACCTGAGCCGAAGTCGGATGTTTAACCGACTGAGCCACCCAGGCACCCCTCTCTTGCACCATTCTTACTCACGTGATGTGGTACCTATAAGACCTGCCAGTGGCAGCTGAATGATACAGAGATGTGCAGAGTGCTTCTGTTCTGGTGTTACCAAGGCAGTGGGCTGACACGTGCCATTATTACGACACAAAATATTCTGGGAGTGTGAGGAAGGGTATCCTGGCATGAAAAATCCGAGAAAACTTCCAGAAAAAAGAGTGATAAGTTCAGATGTAATGTCAAAGGAAGGGTAGATGTTTCCTGGGCGAAGAAGGGGAAGCTCCCTCCTGGTGGACTGGATGCTCCCGAGCAGAAGCCGAGATTGGTCAACAGCACTACAAGTGATCCACTAGAGCTGCATGGCATTGGAGCTAGCTGGGGAGCTCCTGTTGATAGGGCTTCTCTGCCCTTTCTCGTGTGGCCCAGAACCATTCGAAACAGCACACTGAGGCAAAGGGAGGAGGCTGCTTCGGGCTGGAAGCTATTGGCTCAGGAATTCTAGCCGTCCTGGGATCTGCTTAGCGGCCCGGAGTGCTGAGAGAATTGCCCTCTGAGCACCACTGGCAGGGCACACTGGCTGGGAAGCTGCTATCCATGAGGGAAAGCCACAGGGAGGATTTGAGCAAGGGAGTGACCGATTTGCGTTTTAGAACTGTGGTAGTGGTGGGAAAAGATCTGAGGGAGAAGACCGGGCAAGGAGCCAAGCAGGGCATTCAGCAGTAATTTAGGGAGAGATGCAGTCCTCGAGGGCTGTGATAGAAGCCCGATGGAGAGGTGGGGATGCACTGGGGAGGTATTCTAGAAGGCAAAAGAATAGGGTGAGGTGTTAGATCGGATATAGTGGAGGAAAGGGAGAGTGGAATCAGGATGAGAGTATGCAGCAGGAAGAATTTCCCGGGAGTTGGGATGGAAATGGTAAATTAGGTTTGGCATATGTTGACTTTCAGGTGAATTGTGGCACAGGCAAGTGGGGTCACCTAGTGGGCATTTGTCAAAACTTGGGGAAGATTCCACGTGATCATTTCACACAATGAATGGCTAAGGATGCCAGGCTTCTAAATCGTAATGGGCTTAATTGACTTCATTTCAAACAGCACTGCTGTGCAGTTACTTTGATGTGGTCATAAGCCGAGGCACTTGGGACCTAGCATAGTTGGCCGCTGGCTCCGAGCCCAGGTGCCCGCAGCCAGTACTCCAGCAGCCCCAGGTGGTAGCAGGCTTTGTCTCAGTCCCTGTGTCCTTTCTGCCTCCATGGCATCTATCAAATGAACTGACTTCTAACTGATCCTTGGTGAGGACTTCAAGGACTGTTACCCTTATGCTGAAGATTTCTAGCGTGTTTTTTCATATAAGCTCCTGTGTGGTATTTTTGGCTCTTATCTGATAGCATGTTGATGAATTCACACCGTCGAGGAGTAAATTAGTGCCTTTGCTGAATTCCCCACGTCTCTCTTTGGAACCACTATTTCCTCAGGCATTCATTCGCAGAATCTCGGAGCTTTCACTCATTCAACACTAATTTTTGAGTGCCTCCTCCAGTCAATGAGGTTGACTCCCCCAGACTCTCCTCCAGCTCTCCCGCCCCTGGCTCCTGCAGATACTGGTGCTCAGCGGTTCTCTGTGCAGGCCCAGTATTGCTGGTACATTTTAGTACTTCAGTTCACACATCTGTTTTTCACTAAACCAGGGTTTTTCCACTTTTTTTTTTTTTTTTAATCATTGCCCCTC